TCCCAGGTTTTGGTTCTTTAGATTAAGGGTGAACCACTCAGTAAGACTTAGGCTAGGTCTACACTACCCGCCTGAATCGGCGGGTAGAAATCGACCTCTCGGGGATCGATTTATCGCGTCCCATCGGGACGCGACAATCGATCCCCGAATCGGCGCTCTTACTCCACCAGCGGAGGTGGGAGTAAGCACCGCCGACAGAAAGCCGCAGAAGTCGATTTTGCCGCCGTCCTCACAACGGGGTAAGTCGGCTGCGATACGTCGAATTCAGCTACGCTATTCACGTAGCTGAATTTGCGTATCTTAAATCGACTCCCCCCTGTAGTGTAGATGTACCCTTAGACACACAAAAATAATACGAAGAATCTCGCGCATCCTCCAGGTTCATACTTGCTGCTTTACAATGATGTGGATAAGAATGGAAGTTTGGCTTCAGGGAGTGACCCCCTGGCGTTCCAGCAAATCTCTGAAACGGAGTCATTTTCCCCTCTATTAATGGATGTTTCCAAACATTTCTGCACATTGTGCAGTGTCTGCTGCTCTGTGGGGTGTCGGAAGCTGCCAGATTAGAGCCGCATCTCTATCTATCTACCATAAGACACAAAATATTTTCCGTTTTTTTAGGGGGGAAAAACAGCCTCTTAGCTGGTCTGTGCAGGATATTTCCATTACCTTTTATCAATCTAAAGAGCACACTACATCATTTACATAAAAGACTGAGACCTTTCCCCACCTCTCAGCAAGGACTTGCTAGCTGAAGTTGCAGTGATATTACTATTTTTACAGACTATATACTTTACTTACATGTTTATTAGCAGACTGCGAAGCATCATGAAACAATGAATACTAAGCTAACGCATGCAAAGAGCAGAGAACATTTTGTGCTGTGTTAATGTTGCTTTTATTTATTCTGTGTGCAAAAGACAGCCATGAGCAGCGCGTCTCCCAGATAATAGTGAGAATTGGGAAGGTTTGGCTCTACAGAGGCTTGTGATACCAGAGCACTGCAAACTAATGCATAGTAGCAACACAAACCGCACACTGCCCATGGACAGTGGGATGTTGTTTCACAGACATCACACAAATACACAGTCATTTGCAGCTCTCTCTCTAACCCCAGCGAGGTACCCCAACCACAGACATTGCTGAGGTTCAGTTGCATTTCTTGATCTAGAGTTAAAGAGAGTCTTTCCACTGATTTCAAGGGGCTTTAGATCAGGCCCTAAATGATAACTACTGGTTGGCTGGCTGTCTAGTGACCCATTTGGAGAGTTGAGTCCAGTTTCCAAGGGGTGGGACAACATGTGTATCTATATCATTACAAACAACGCTCCAATGGGCAGCCCTGTTGGCAATCTCGGGCGAATGGTCAAGGACTGAAAGAACATGAAGGCCAAGCTTCTTCTCCCGCCCTCCTGGGGATGGCAGAGGACAGGGCAGAGAGTAGCCTGGTGGAACGCCATATGGCTGATGCCCGTGCCGCACAGTGCAGCTTCCAGGGCTATTAGCCCAGTAGCTTTCACCAGCAATGAATGCACATGAAGACATACAGCAAAGGAGAGTTGGATAGACAATGAAGGGGCTAATCAACAAAGTCTGAAACTCAAGAAGTTTGGAGGGGTTGCTAAAGCATCCAAAAAAGGCCGGGTACCCAAGTTGAATACGAGACTG